AAACCTTAAGGAAAAAAAAAAAAGCAGCCACAAATGCCAAAACCTTTCCCGAAGCCCAGACACCACAACGTAATCATCTGGGGCTCCTCTACATAATCATGGGTCTTGCCAAGTCTCTGGTTTAAGGGGGAAAAATACAATGTAAATATACGATATATTAGACTATTAGGAATTTTCAGTGTAGATTCCAAATTATTTGCAGCCTTGAAAAGAGGCAGACAACCCTGGGCTGACATCCCTTCTCTCCATCCGCTTCCTGGCAAGCTATGGCGGCCGGGGCGGGGGAGGGAGGGTCCGCTGTGAGCCTCTTTTCTCATCTGTGAAATGGGCACATCTGACGGAGCCCCGCAAAGACCAAATGCCTGAAGGTGAATGAAGGGCGGAACCCAGCACCCAGGACCAGGTAAGCCCTGAGCACATAGCCATCTCCTCCCCTCTGGAACAGAACGACAAAAAAGAGGGGGGGAGTGAGCAAGAGTTTGCAAGCAGCCACGGGGGGCACCTGTGCCACCCGGAGGACGATTATTTGAGGCAGGGGCGGAGATGCTACTGGAAGGTCCGTGGGGTTAGGTGAAGCCAGCTTCTGAGAATCGAGGCAGCTCTGAGGGGAAAAAATAAATTAAATAAATGGTTTCTCTAATATGGGGCCATCTGGCGATTTGATAAAAGTATTGGGTTTCTCAAGGCAGTCCGCGAGTGCTCCCTGGGCGCCACCGTTTATGGCTTAAATATGACTCGCATGTGGAACCAGCATTACAAATGAGAAACAGCAGCTTCTGAACTTGTTCCCTAATGGGGGCCTTTCATCACCCAGTTACCCTTAAGCGTCTCCCTTCCCATTGTAATTGGCCCTAAATGAAAAGCATTAGTCCCGTCAATAAAAACTAATGGTTCTACTGACTAAAAAGAAGGGGGCGGGGACTAGAAGAGAGGTCACTTTAAAAGACAGGAAGGGACTGGCGTCACCTCCCTTCCGGAGCCTCAGGGTTTGATATTGGGGCGCAGAGGGCCGCAGTGGGGGAAGAGCCCCTCCAGGAGCCCGAGGCTGGGTGCCCCATTCTGGCTGCGCTTGTACCTTGCTGTGTGACCGCTCGTGGCCAGCTCTCCTTCTCTGGGCCGCCCCGATCCTTGTTAAAGTGGATATAATGAGGCCACTCTGCCCTGCTCACAGTAGGGCTGGTTTCAAGGATCAAAGGAAAAGCTGGATGGGAAAAGACTTTGAAACTGTAAAGGGCTTGCTTGAGCCCTGGAGGAGTCATGGCAATTTTATCCTTCCTGGAGATGGGAGCTGTCCCCCCCCCCC